ATTTTGGCACAAGTAGCATATACCATCGCATAGTGGGCTATTTGCTCGAGTTAAAATTGAAGACAAGCTTATATCAACTTTCTACAAGAAAATATGAGAATGTAATACAACAATATACAATGACATGCAATTATATGACATGTAACAATATTTATTATATTTAGATTTATTAATATAATTTAGAGATAATTTAGAGAGAATAAGATTTATTAATATTAGATAAATATTAAATTAATATTAGATTTGTTAATATTAGATTAATATTAGATTAATATTAGATTTATTAATATAAATTACATATAACTTCATATAAATATATACAAAATTATATATTTATATATCATACAATACATGATATAATATACAATAATATAATACATAATACATAATAATACATCATAAATAATGTATAATTGTTTAATTCATGGATTTTCTACCATTTTTCTATACCAGTCAGACTCTTAGATTTTTAGCCAACTCCACTGTGCAGCATTCACAAAGAATTTGCAGCAAGTTCACAAGTTGTTATCCTGCGAGTAACATTTACCAGAGACACTGATAAGAGGCAGAATAGACTAAGCATCCTCGATAAATTGTTGTGACATCACCGGGGAGATACTTAGTGACGTAGACTTAAGTGCCACGTGACCCCTTACCAATCACGTTACTTGCAACCTTACCAACAGAGTACAAATAACTACAAATAAATAAACAAAAAACCAGTTCCCTTTTATCTTCTTGCGTCAATATTAAATTCTTCAGACCATCGAACACGGTCAATAAAATATCCAAATCTATCCTATTTCTCATTGATGGTAATTCGAAATTAATGATAAAAATTCATATACCTGCACTATCGACACTTGTATATCAGAGAATCTACTTTAACGTTTGCTGATAACTAAACATATAAACAATCAAACAGCAAAAATTTCAAAGAACTATAATTGTTAATTATACATATTCCTAACATAAATGCATATACCAAACGTTCTCTATTAAAAGACATCCAACTATCAAATCGATATTAAGAACACTATTTACTTAAGCATCGCATGACTCGATTCATAAAATTCAACTGCAGTTAATGATCTCCGCTTCACCGTATCTCGGGAAAACGTTTAACGTAATCATTAAATAGAAACTGTAATGTGCGTGACCAGGATACACCGCTGCAGCCGCAAATTGCTACGATTAAACAGGAAGGGGAAGGGAAACTGCGCGAAAACGGGAGTATATTCCCAGTGTTTTCAATGTCCCCTGCGTCAGTTGTTAATTTCTATCTGGGCACTGTAGACTGGTCTGTTAAAATCAGAAGCTTTGATTACGAACCACCAGAAATTAGGATGTCACCGGTGCGTTTAATGATCCTCGCGATACTCCTGATGGCTTTGTTGGTCGACAACCGATCCAAAGCTCTGACGTTTCCGGAAGGCAAAAGGACTAAGCGCTGTCCACCGGGATATAAACAGATCCGTAATGTGGGATGCAGGAAAATCACGGATCGTAAAAGGTAATACTCAGTAAAATCGATCTAGAGTTTAATTATGAAATATTTAGTTTATTAAGAGAAATATCTCTGAATTGAACTCATTTATCAGTCGCTTTTATAGCATGGAATAAAAGAGAATAGTGTCTTGATTAAATGGTTTGATTGGTTCATTTATTGAATCACTTCATTAACAATTGTTTACGTTTCAGTGAACATCGAATATTAAATCTGCACAGAGCTGCATAAACGATAACGTTAAGAAGTATGAAGGATTAATCATCGATATTTTCATCTGGTATTACTCTTTGGAACTCATGGCAAATTTATAGTGTCATTTTTTTACATTTGTATACGTGTACGGTGAGACATGCGTAAGATAAATCACAGCTTATCTAATTGAATCTTGTATCTTATGTAATCACTGGCTGAGAATTAATAAAGGATTGTATAATTAATCGTAATGTCCGCGGTAAGATTATTGTCAGTAAATCCTATTCAAATAAACCGCCAATTTGTCTGTTTACTCTATCGATCTATCGAGGTTGTGGAGAAAATGGCTGCCTCCAGGGTTTAAGTTGTTTAAAATGTAATAAGTATTCACGAGCTGAAAAAGCTATTTTATCGTTACGAAACGATCACATGTAATTTTAATTACAATTTAATTGCAATTTGGTCTAAATTTTGATTGAAAAATATCTGGAAGATACATAACCTAAGTACATCGAACTCTATTCATTTTGTATTGGCAAACACTGTACAATAATAATCATAGAAGTTAATAAACAAGTATATTAATTTAAAAACATATTTCTTAAGTAGATATAATACTCTGCTTTTATAAATTTGTACAAGAACAATATGTAAAATTGAAAGAACTAAAATTAATATTTTTTAAGAGACTGAAATATATCATTACTGAAATATAATACATTTGTTCATTCTAAAGTAAAAGTACCTATGATTGCGTTTAAAATTGATTCTATAATGTATCCTGTAACACAGCGGACACGAGAGCTATGCTCGTAATGTTTGAAATGTCCAGCATTCGTAAGTGTATGATTCACGAACTGCTTCATAGACTTAAGAGTAAAATGAGAGCAATAAGAGCCGAGCAATTTGGAAACGATTAGGAAGGATGCTGGACAATCTTCCTACCAATGAAGCCTGTTATGAAACTACGAATTAATCCTTCAATCTTCGCTTTCCAGTTTACGCTCACCGCATTTGTGTCCTTAGTGTTCGTTAAATTAATAAATACGATAAAGGAGAGAAAAAGATTTTCTGTCAAATTCAGATAACATCGTCAATTTAAGATTGAGCCAACGTTAAGCGGTCGTGGGTTGCGTTAAAGAAGGAAAAAGAAATGTTTCTTACATCGTGAGAGTCTGGAAGACAGTTGTGTTATCGAGATTGCTCAATTATATCGCGATAATCGCCATGATTCGATGGCAATTGTAATAATACCATTAAATCACCATTAAAAATAAACCGAGATATCTTCCAATGTTCTGTGTCACACACATCCTGAATACTTTCACGATGGTTATTGCACAAGTGCCGCGTACCGACACAACTTTATTCTATGGCGCGCCGAACTTTTTCACGAACCGCTACCTTGAGACGTTGCATTGCACGGAGCAATCTTAGAATAGTTTAATCTCGCATGTAGATTAATACACCCACGCCCATGGTCGGCCCCGTAATCATTAAAATCCTCTCGTCGAGCGACAGACTCGTCTGTCAGCGTACCAAACGATAAAATCTCGCGTATCTTTCCCATTGAATTGCGCAAGAAAAAATCGTTAATGTTAACACAACTCCCTTCCCTCGATGATTCGGTCGTTCTAAAAATTCGTGTCGCAATGTGTCCAGGTTTCGTGGATCCATCAACGTGTCTTTCTTAATTTGATGAGATAAAGACACGAATTACTTTACAGTCTTCAAGAAAAGGTCTGGGTTAAAGAGAAGCCATAATGAACTTAGGATTGACGTAAGGAACATTATGTAAAAATATTATGCATTTTATAATACCTCATATTCCACGAGATCTGTAATTTGTGTAATATTCAAGGAGTAAGTACTTATTGGTAAGTTACTAATTTTCTTGGTGGAATAACTAAGAAATTCCAGTAGAGAAGCATTGCACGAAGAATCGTAAATATAATACATCTTCACTGTGTTCCACTAATTTATTAGACATTACTAGCGTCTTTAACGCGTTAAATCAATGGTTACTTCATTACTATGGTTACTTCTAATTTCCAAAATCGTTTTCTCAAGACCTAGACTTGCACAAGTATCCGAGGCCTAATTAACATATGTATCTCCCATTTCGAGGAATCAATTAAAATTCCAGAAAGTTCTCTTTTCTAGAAATCTACAAAAGATTCAATCTATTTCCAGAAAATTCTAGTAAGCTGAGATCACTTTCAAATTTCTGGGAAATCCCCCAATTTGATTACAGAAAATTCCTTATAAAAAACCGTCACTTAAGAAAGCAATCTTCATCCATCGCATTTTCATTTAATCTCCAATTCATTGATTCGTTCCAATCGACTGTATCACCTTCGGAAAGTATTATCACAACGATTAAAAATCGGTTCACTCATCAATGAGTAAACATCAGCACAGTCGTCAATGAGTAACCAACGAAAACCCATTTCTTAGCGATTCGCTGTCAGCGTTTACAACTCTAATTATTTACTTTCACATGTATGTAAAATATACCCTTTTCATATCTACGTCCATCTAATTTAATATGAATCTCCATGTAATTTCTACACATAGGAAAACTACTCCTATACAACCAATTAACGAACCCGAAGATACGACCTCCAAGATAACTCTAATTAAATCCATTTCCAAATGAAGGTAACCAAAAATCTGCAACAAACCAGTTTCCTCAACTCAAAATTCCTCGATCCCCACTTCAGCAGGATTAGCTCCTTCAAATGTCAACTTTAATCACCGAAAGCAAACAATTCTACAAACAAATCCTAAGAACTAATACAAAAATACACTCAACACTAGATTTACAGGACGAGTCAATTCGACTCACATTGAACTTCATAAGCATTATTTGGTAAATGTTTCAATAGATTTTTGTCACCGCAGTGATGCAAATGTATATCCCAATCGTCCGCTCTCAAACCTCTAATTCCTAAAATCTAATTGAAAGGATAACAATTTTCCTAACAGAACAATCTGTAAATCTCAGCAAATCTGTCCTTAAATTTCAAAGTTCTTGCCGGAACGAACTCTCATAAAAAACCCAGCGAAACTTATCAAGATCCCTTATCAAACTAGAATCTCATAAGAACATCCTGAAATGCACTTCCGCCGAATAACCGTCAAATCGCGATGCAACGCGGCGATAGCGCGATCGGTTGAGGCCATCCGCCTCCGATAAGGGCTGCGGACGTTGTTCGTCATCGAATGAAAACCGAACAAGGAAAAATTGGAAAGTCCGCGAGGCACGTCGGTGGACACCGCGGTGAACCGCGTGTCCGTCTATCCGCGGAACCGTGTGTGAAGCGAGCGGCGCGTGTGTGTGGCCAGAAATACGCGTCGGTCCGTATCGCTTCGGCAGTCGATCGCGGCGCGAGCAGCGGAACCTGCTCAGGTGTTGCGTTCTCCGCGTTCCTCCGTTTGCGCGGCGTGCGATGCGAACAGTGGCTCCGAGTGGCTTGTAAACACGTGCCGACGACTCGGGAGAGAATATTCACGGCGACGTTGAACCACACACAAGTACACGAAACCGCGCGCTTTGTGCCGTGCGCCAGACACGCACGCATACTTGTTGTCCTCCGTCCGCCGATTTGCTTCGTGGATCGACCGACTCGGACCGGCTCTATATCCTGTTATCAATATATTGCAGTGAACGACGAAGAGGAGCAGCCGCGGGCCACCACGCGCGAAAACATGTCGCTCTATAAGATCGGTTCGTACGTGCTCGCGTTCGTGTTGTTGGGAGCGGTGGTCGGACTCACGCTGGCGCAACGGGATGACAGCTTCGTATTCCCGGACCAGGTCCCGGAGAAATCACCGGGATTCGACTCTCCAGATTTGGCGGTAAATGCTTCGTCCTGGTTCCCTTCACCTTTCCGCTTCGGATTCGGCGAGTTGATCGGTTCCGATGAATATCCGAGTGTTGGTAGATGCGGAGTGTGCTCCATTGTTCAATTTCGTTCGAATCATTCGTGTTGAGTTCGGACGGTACTGTGTATTTTGAGTATGTTACAGTAAAGTGAGTCGTCAACTTTGTTCGGCTGGTTTCTAATGGGTAGTTCGGTATTCGGAAATCGGTATGGAGAGTGTTAATCGATTGTTCTTTAATTAGACCGTGTTGGTTGCTATGGAAAAGGATTTGGCTCGAATGCCATTTTACGCAGAGTTCAAAGAGAATTTTGCTTCGCCAGCTTCTCCGAGATCGGCGATCCGATTCCGTTCCCATGCCAGCGTCTCGCGCGCACTCCCACGTTTTCTCTACGGTAAATAGCGCAATTATGTTGTCCGGCGTGAGGCGATTGTAAAGAGCGCGCACACAACGAGCCGGCCAAGTCGGAAGGCAATCCGTCTCCGCCAGAAAACGGCGGTGTCGTTGCCTCGGCGCGATTTTTTATCGTGAACGCGATATTACCGTTCAACGCCGAAGCTGAACAGCGAAAAAACTTCAGCGGAACATCGCGCGAAACTCGTCGGGACAAGGAGTCGCGTTTGATCGCGCGGAAATCGGCCATCCGGCGCTACTGTCGCTTTTTTTGTTGCTAGCCGTGACTCGCATCGGTCGACACAACCAACGGTTGTATAACAAAGTTAGTCACGCATTACAATACAATCGTTTTCACTTTTCGATTAGAAAGAAGATGAATTTGTCGGCTCCGAGTCATCTTGCCGGGAAAGACTTCGAGGTTTCAGTGGCTTTCGCGATTTAGCTGTCGATCTAGTGACACCTTGGCGAGAAACAGTAAATGGCGATCGGATGGGAGGAGCTTAGTTCCCGTTTTCAATGGTAGACGCCGACGTTGCGACATTCTTGCGGCAACAGGAGCATGTTTTCCCGTAAAGACCTGGATGACGCCGAAGGCCGTACGCACTAATGTCAAGGATGCACGGGACCGAGGTGGGAACCTCGACGGTGCACGGCACGCTTAGAATGCTCGCCACGGTGTCCGCGATACGACGTACAGGTGACTGATTACACGTCACCTGGCAAATGCCTTGCCGATTACACGGTGACCGTCTAAATTTACCGGTGCGACGAATCACCGGCCCCGGATATCGACGATTAGGCCCCGTAGACTGATACCATTAGCGAATTCGACTGAATTCGATTAATTGTTGGAAAATACCGATTTCTAGGACTCGTACAATGAAATGGAACATAAAACTTTCTAAAAACAATTTTTACAAGATTTCGTTCGAGCTGTTGATAATTTTCTTATTTGTTTATTGAATTGGATTTCTTCGTATATGGCAATTAGAGCAAAATGACTGGTTTAATTGTTCGATATCAGGTGAATGATTTAATGTAATGTTATGAGGTTGTATTTTATTGTATATGTAACTATACAAATAAGGAGCTGTTGAGGATTGGATTCATAAAGAATTTTAACGATCGAATTTACAGTTCAATTGAATAATGCGCGAGCTTGTATTTTATTGAGAAAAACTCGCTTGGTCAGAGGTTTTCATTCAACAGGATTATCTCTCGTATTCCGTAGACCTGCTGTTTGCGTCACGCTTCTTACTGCAATTTCAGTTGCGCAAATTATGGTCGTAAGAGCTCAACGTCATTATTGTTAGTATAATTGCGCTGCCTCGCAGCTTAATTCCTTTGCGATAGAGTAAGATTCGGATTAGTTCAACGACGTCGAAGCTATTAGACAATGGTAGACCAGGAAGGATATTGTAATGGCGGAGGGAATTCTATTGGCAATAGGCCAGAGAAAATTGTGGGGTATGGCAAATAGACTACAAGTGTTTATGCAAATGCAGTCATTGCGGCAACTAATTTACTGGCACGGTAATTCATCAAGAACCCGTTTGCTCCGGTACAGGTTTTTCCAAGTTCCAAGCGAACTACGGATCTAATTTTATCAAACCTTTCATTTTCACTGCGTTCCAAACAAACCAATTCGCTATTCAGATAATTTGCAGTTCAATAATAAACTACAGCTACATCTTAACGCATAGTCTAATCAAATTATATCCGTACATCTCGTATTAACTCCTAAAGCATCGTTCATACGATTTTTCATTCTAATATCTGTCATTAACAAGACAGTTATCAATTACATTAACCACTAGAGATCAAAAATAAAATATCAGAATATCGGAACACGTTCATCTTACAAATTTTCTACGTTCATATGGTTTGAATACAAAATAACCGTTCGCAATTTTCAACACTAAAATTACCAAGTAGTTAAATCAACTTTTAGAAATTCCTGTATAGAAACTCCAAGAGTGCATCCATTCATACTTCAATAGATTTACAACTCAGTTCGCGTATTGCTGAATCAATTTCTTTAACACTAGAACTACTAGTCAAAATGACTGATTTCGCAATGATTGATATCTTAAAAGCATTGAATATTCGAAATGATCTTGAAAATAAATAGCTTCACTCGAATACTGCAACAAATGCCTGAAAAAACCGAACACAATCTATTGTTACAATTTTTATATGGATTACATATCAATCGTATTAAATCCTTGATACTTCTAGTGTTAACTTCTCAGAGAAACATCTGTGATATTTTGATAATCGCAAAAAGAAGATATCAGGAATGGGTCATTTTGACCCATCTGGTAGCTCTAGTGTTAACCCTTTGGCCTACAATATCCTGTCAGACTCGTGACGAAGATTTCGAATAAAATTTAACAAATGTCACTTAATTCTTCGAAGTACGAACCGAATATTATTTTTCTATTATTAACACATTGAACGCCGGCTAAATTTCAGCTGCTAAAAACGCGAGCGTCGGTGATTATATTGATACATTTTTAAACATTAAACCAAAATTTCTAACTTACGGAAGAGAATAAGGAATTTGATTTTGTAAATTTCACTTCGGATTTGTGTTATACGTATCTAAAATGTTACATGAACGTAGGATTATCAATTAAACGATAGACTAAAAATCCCGCATTATCCGGCGCTCAATGTGTTAATTGCAATGCTGAGTAAACGTAGACGTAGAATAAGTATAGAATTCTTCTCTCTTTCTATTGAATTATGAACAACAAAACATCTCTGTTAAGCGCAATTGGAAAAGAAATCATAGGGCAAAGGGTTAACCCTTTTACTCCGAAGTTTATCACTAGAAATATTTCAACATTCTCTGACGAGATGAAGACGATATTTCGTAAAACCAACTCGACGAGAAATTCACGTGAATTAACGGACAAAGCTATTTTACGTCAATATTTCTTAGATTGATGCATTGTATGAAGTATAATATTAAACATCAAACTTTATAGCTTCACCGTAGAAAATCAAGTGGCAACTGAGAGTCACCTCCCGAGTGTAAAGGGTTAATAAGCGATTCGAGTCGCAGTAGAAAGAAAGGTCAGTGCGCGTCCGAATTCGGACAATGTTTTGCCGAGCAAAGCGACGCCGGATGAAGAGAGAAATCCAGGTTGCGATTAATATAAAACTCGCGCGCGCAATTGTTGCAAGGTGAAGCCCATTCTTCCGGCAAGGTCGGTGCTTTATTTCGCGGAGTTTCCGCTCGCTCGATCGTAATGCAATTATCGCGTTACCTGTCGAATACGTGTGCCCCAGTGTCGTAACGCCGTCCGCCGATCGCTGTTGGCGCCGATCATTACTGTACGCTTCGATCCCGACGTGAAGTCCCGATCGGACGACGATTCCTCGAAAGTGCAATGCCTCGCTGCAGCGGATTTCACGATTATGCAAATCGCCCGTGTGCGTAATCCGTTTAGCAAAATGCGCGAGGTGCGGGTACCGGTTCCGCGCTCGCGGGAGTAAGGTGGATAGAAAAACATTTATGTATCGCGGTTTATATCTGGAATACCACGTAAAATCCCGGACAATTAATGACAGGAAACGGTTGAAAGTAACGTTTAAATGACATTCGATTCTCTGGGAATGAATGTTAGCGTATTCTTGTTAGTGCCCGTCGAGCTTTTAGAGCAGGACCTATAACGAGGTCTGAAAAATTCTGGAAAGTAACTGCGAAAGTGAGATTTTCCATGAGAAATTGATACAAGTAGTAACCCTTTGCACTCGAGAGGTGACTCTCAGTCACCACTTGATTTGATGTAGTAAGATTATAAGCTCGTATATAATATTAAGCTTTGTATAATGCATCGATATGTGAAATATTGGAATGGCTTTGTTTCTTGATTTATGTTTTCTCATCGGTTGATTTCAAATAACGTCGTCTATATGTTACTGGAAAACGTTGAATATTTCTAGTGGAAAGTTTCCGAGTGCAGAGGGTTAATGCAAGTTGGACCCGTGTCCAAAAGAGGAATTTCACTACTTATAAAATTTGAATCGCGTTATAGAGTTCTATTGTTCGTGTTTCTTCCACAATCTTCCAATCTTCTAAGTTTTATCCCGTTTGATCCCGTTGTACCTGCAATCTGTGATATAATCTATAATCCTATTGAATCCTACTCGAAAGATACATATAGTCACTAATAGGAAAGGATCATCGAAACAGGTAGCTATCACTTCAAGCAACGAATGCCAAGACAATCGTAATAGTTTCCTTTCAACACGTTCACCAGCGTCACACAATTGTCGTAATCCTATATTACATAATGAAAATTAAATAAATCCTAGATATTGTTATTAGAAATTATAGAACATCTATAGGATTAATTTGTTCAGGACAATTTATTTAGACAATTATATTTAGGAACTCAGTGACTCGTTTGCTTCATTTTTTTAATGCAGTCAAACCTGTTTTTGTGCGGTCCTTTTCTATGCAATTCTTTTTTATGCGATTTATTTTGTGCCATTGTTTTTATGCGGTCCTTTCCTGTGCAATTCTTTTTTTTTGCGATTTATTTTGTGCCATTGTTTTTATGCGGTATATGAATTCCAACGGTGTTGTTCTTTTTCAAATGACGAAAGTGACTTTGAACCAGTTCATTATAAGATGCACGTTTTAGACTACGACGAGTAACAGAGAATTATGTGCATTATGAAAATTTCTCCATGTATGAGAAATTAAATTTGTTTAAAATGATTCCATGTGTAATTTAATTATTTATTTCGTTTGAAAGCACTTGCTCGCTATTTCGTAAATTTCTGAACATTTTTTTTATATGGTCCCTATCTATCGCACAGAAACAGATTTGACTGTATTCCCTTTAGATTCATTGGATCGAAGGAAATATAATTCAGGAGATCGTCATCGAAATAAGCGCTGGTAGCGGACGTGTTACTAAGTGTCTCGCAGTATTCGAGGAACTCGACGACCCGTCGCGAAAGAGTAAAAGGAAAGAAAATTCGAATGCCCCGTGTTAGCGTCGATATAACTTTAGCTCGGGGAATATTTTTCGTCGCGTCAGCGTTACAAAATGACCGGTACAAGTGGAACAACCGGCGGGGCCGTCGGGGGACCAATCTCGACGCGGCCGAACGAAAAAATATTCAATCGGACGAGTCGCGAGGGGGCATTAACATCAGGGAGCTGGTTTTTAGAAACTTCGTACATCGTTTGCTCGTTTTTTGGGTGTCCGGGCGCTAGAGCCTCGCGCTCGAAACCTGTTCCCGGGCTAAGGACGAGCGTCTCGGGCCTCGGAGGAACAGCTCCGCGTGTTCCCCAGGATGACCGCTGCGCGAGCATAAAGATACCTTTTTAATGGCGGTCCAGATATAGCCGGGACGACGGTGGAACACTTTTTTTACAGTTTCCCGGATGATTGACCTGCGCTCCTCCGGCAATCCTGATTCGAATCGAGCATCCGCGATCGCGGCTGATGACTCACGAACCAGCGATACCGGGAGTACCCTGATAATTACACACTGAGCTGTCTCGGTCGGACAATTTTTTTCTTGTCCACCGATCGACCGCTTTTCCTCTAGAGTTTCAACGTGCGTTGTTCTAAGATAATCGGGCTGATCGATAAGTCTCGTTTCGAAATGCATTGATTGTTGAGGATATTTTGTAGATTGACACTAGTGAATAGTAATGGTTAATGATAATCAATTTTTTTTATTCTTTAGAGTTTCTATGTGTACAATGGTATGAAGTAGGTAGTTTGAAAAGTTCTTGTTTTCAAATGCGTTGCTTGAATATAGTCATCGTGGAAATTAGATGATAGTAATGGTGAGTTAATAATAATTTTCTATTTTGTTCTCTGCAGCAAGGTTATCTTAAAACGATCAAATATTTTTGAACGATGTGTTTACTCTGCGGTCGATTTCGGATAAGAGAGGAAAGGTTCGTTGCTGGAAGCAAACGCGGTACACCTGAACACATGCCTCGTCGTCTTTTGAACTTAGGAATTAACGATGCGGATGACAAACCGTCGGAATTCTTAAGCAAAACAGGCTTAAAAGCGGCTGATTAACACGTTCTTCTTAGGAAAAATGTTTCTGCATCCGAGGAGCGCATACCAAACTCGAACGATTAGCTAACACGCTAATATACGCGCGAAGCTGAAGAAATACAATCGCCTACCAATATGTACGATCTTTTGTTCAACTCTTAACCGATATCTTCCGGATCGATTCCCCGAATCCACGTATTATCTGTGTTACCGATTTCGATTAGACCGCCGAGCGATAACGCCGCGGTACGCGAGCGAGCGAGAGAATTTTCCAGCGATTCTCCTACCGATGCCAAACATAATTTGTTGTTTGTTTTTCAGCAAATGCTGGAGATCGCGCAGAAACTGAACGACATGGACTCGGTGGATGACGTGCTTAAATACGTCGAAGGGGTACCGGAAAGTAACCTAAGATCTCCTTCAAGTAAGTGTAATCACCGATGAATCGATACTCATTAAGATTCAATCGAGTGTTCATTAATGTTAATCGATCTCGACACGTATTTAAACATTCTTCGCATTCTATTCCACTGCCATTTAAATTCGTCCGACACTTTCTTAGATTCCTGTGTTTCATCATTTTTCTCCGACGAATAAGTTTGGGTACAGAAATTGAACCGAATTTGTGAGCACTTTATTCAACACGACTACCATCTTTCTGATTTCAAGACAGTTTATTCAATTTGAAAACTAACGGTAACAGATCATTCTGTCGTTACGCGATACCGAATACAAAATATTATTGTATTTTCGGGAGACAACGCGGACCCAGCCCGCCGTCAGCCCAACAACTGTTTAACGAACAAATCGTTGCAAATAAATCAGCAATCACAGTAAATATTAAACGAATCCGAGCGGTGTACCTTAACGATTTCATTGTTCAAACACCGCCCGGCTATCAGCGAATATGAGATCATCCAATAAACACGATAGCGGAACGTAAAAATGTATACGCTCAGAAAAAAAACAGTCGTATAAAACTCCGACTTGTAACAGATACGGCTGGCGGGTCTCGAACACTCTTTTTTTGCGAGTGTTCCGCTAGCGTAAACGTGATCGTTTACTTACTTAACTATCCGTGACAGTAAATTAAAAAGAAACAACCTTGACATTAGTCCTGCGCAAAAAACACCTCGAAAAGTAATTTCCCGATGCTGTATAAACGAACGAAACACAAAGTAGATATACTTTAACCCTTTGCACTCGAAAGCTTTTGCCTGGAAACATTCAACATTTTCCAACGAGATATAGTCGATATCGTTTGGAACTAATTCAACGATAATTCACAGATAAATTAAGCAACAAAGCTATTTTTCTATTTCACATAGCAATAGAAAGTTTCGTTTAAAATACTAAATATTCACTTCATAGTTTTGCAGTGTCAAATCGAATGGTGACTCGGAGTCACCTCTCGAGTGCAAAGGGTTAATCAATTTTTTGATTAAATCAATCTTCAAAGATGAAAATGAAATTTACTGATCTTTAGCTTCTGAAACTTCCTCCGTTACCTTCTTCTCTTCCGACTCCCGAGCAAAGCGCACTTTGGCCTTGCTCTTACTTTCGTATATGATCAAGTGGATTTGATAATTGAAAACGAACTCCGTCTTGTTCAAATCATTGCGATCGTCCACGTCGATGCGAGGTTTGCTGAAGACGAGCTTGTCCTCTATATACCTGGGGACAATTAGAGGCGTAAGAGGATCTTTCGCCGCCAATTCGGTTTCCAAATTCGCCAGGAAGCCTTTGCGATCCTTGAAGAAGTCGAAGTCCTTCAGGAACCCGTTGAAGTCGTTTTTGTTCGGCACCAATCTGTCGCTGATCTCGTTGATCTCCTCTAAGCTGAGCAGCCTAGCTTTCGGCGGACTGAAATACGTCCCGCTGTTTTTTCTTTTATGCGAGGACTCCGAGGCCGGCCGTTCCGTTAACGTGGAGTACGCGATTTGCAACTTGCAGGGTCGCCGCCATCTTTGAAGGTTAGACGTGGCCGAGACATACGAGTTCCAGGCATCTGCGGTCGGATCAAATGAGATTCTTATTACTGCTTGATTCACGTAGACCTTGTCTAAGTTTCATTGAATTCGCTTGCTCATGCGACCACTGATTTTTAAAAAACACATTGAAGTGTCAGGTTCAATAAAAATGTGTACCATAATGGAGGATACAATGGGAAACGTATTGTCTCTACGCGAAAAAGATATAATCGATAATTTGTTCGTCGTTGATAATTTGCTAGAAGAAATTCCTCCATAAATATTCGATCTTATCTACCTATTATCTTATCTCGATCTACTCCTATAAATTTCCTCGACTAGTCACTTTCAAACGAACAAATTCAACATCTTTCATATGTTTCTCTACGTAACCACCCCTAGACACCAGATTTACGGAATTCGTCAGTTTGATGAATATTGAATATTCTAAACATTATTTAGTAACAGTTTAAGTCGATTTTGATTCTGAAGTTACAATTTTGGCGATTTATATAGACGAACTCATAGTTTTCTAAGAATAATCGAGTAAAGTAGAATAAACGTCTGTAAATCTAGTGATAACGTTTAGCACCCTGCGTAATAATTCTATGAACAGCTAAAACATTTGGATAAATATAAAATTATCGATAAATTATTGCTTCCTGTCTGTTCACTGAGTGTTCCATAAATTTTAATATTTCACTGAAATCGACCCTTGCCTTGTTTCCAAGCTTTCCGCGAGAGTTCAATCTCGCCCTGGGCTTCGACGTACTTAACCGTCCCGGTCTCGACGATAACAGGCCGATCTCCTTGGCCGCGCTCTCTCTCGACGGCTTTGACAGTTGGTGCCACTTCCTCCTCCAATTTTATCCTATTAATGCTCCGCTCGATCTCCTCTGTGTCGGTCTCCGAGATCTTCAGCTTGAAAAGATTGCTGAGATCGCCCTCGCTCAGATAGTGAAACACGTCGGCGTCCTCTTCGTTCGCGGCGGCGGTTTTCATCGGATCAATTTCGTTCTGATTCAAATCCCTGGTGACGTCAACAGCCGCAGACACATCCGTCTCCAGGAAATCCGTCTCGTTGATTTCTGCACGGTTTTTCGCGCAATCGTCGCCGTTATCCGTATTGACGTCGATCTTCGAAGTCTCTCGGTCATCGAGGCTCCGATACGAAAAGTCTTTTTCCCTGTTTCGAAAACTTCGCAATTAGGATCACCGTGTCGCCCCTTTGTCCGACGAAAGTGGCGTTTCTCGTCGCTGAGATCATTCCCGCTTTCCTCACCGATTCGACGATTTTCCTTCGTAACTGACGCCGCTGCTGGGCGCGATACTCTTGAACACGTGCCTGCTGTTCACTTTGTGCGCCTCCATGAAAGCGGCCACGTTCCTCCTGCCGCGGACCGTTCTGCCGAACCAATCGAGGACCACGTCCTCGGCCAGGTGGCTGTCCAGACCGGAAGCGAGGCCATCGACCAGCGCGAAGTAGCAGTTCGCGAATGAGATCGCTCGCGTGCGTTCGTCCATCGTTCGCCTGTAAGAACAACGGAGAGCTGGCTAGTCCCGACACGAGATTACGGAAGCTACTGTAGGACAGACGCAAGAGGAATTCAGGAAGAGGTTGGAACGGAAGGAAATCCTCTGACTAATCGCTGGAAATTCGAACCGCCGACCGTAGCTTGTTTCCCTTTCCTGTAAACGCGGAAATTCGCGCGGACTTTCTCGGTCTGGCAATGGCTGCGATAAATCTTGAGTTTTCAGCTGTTTCGTGACTAAGCTGTAGGCAATTGAAGCGAAACTAAAGAATCTTCTGTTCGAAAATTTTGGTAAGATGGTTGAGGAGGTAAAGGTGGATGTATTAGACAAGATGATACAGTAATAAAGTACTTAAACCTTTTTATTTCGACGTGAAAGGCGATTCGACGATGTATCGAATACTGCTGGGTTGCCTAGGGTTGCTAGATTGTTTACCGTTCGATTTTCTGCGTCTATTGTTGCAGTAGGACTCCCTGGTCCGGTGTCTGAGCAGGATGGCCCGATACTTCAAGGAGGTCTATTCCATAGTAGAATAGGTGGAGACGGCGAGGAACGTTCCAAAGCCGAGCAACCGCTATCAGCTAAGTGTGAGCCAGAGTTGCAACCAGTCACTCTGAAGGTGGATAACGACCCATCGAAGTTTTATTATCCCTCTTGCACGCGAATTCACAGATGCGGGGGGTGCTGCTCTCATTCGTTGCTAGCGTGTGAACCGGTTGAGACCAATGTTCGGAACTTCGAGGTAAGTCGGTGAACTGTGACTTTTAACCCTCTGCGCTCTGTTACGTGATAAAGGGCGATTCGGACGATTCACCGTCGTTTTCTATCAGTGAACTCTTAGAACGTGTTATTTAGAAAAATATATTGCAATAAATAAGTCACGGTAAATGAAAAATCTTATTTTAGAACAATAACATTCTTCTCTTATAATTTTCAAAATAAATCTCTTTAATTAGAGTAGGCTTTCGATTCGTCAGGAAGCAATTAGAGCACAGAGGGTTATGTTCCTTTGTTTAATGACCCCGGAATTGAAAATAACATTGATTCGAAGGTAATGGTGATGTCCCTGGTTGGCCGTAAACTGAGGTATCAGGACAAACGCATCGTGCCGCTGGAGGAGCACACGAAATGCAAGTGCGGCTGCAGAATTAAGGCGGAGGTAATTTGAGGACAGTCGATAATTGGGATCTTCCTTCTTAAACCGGTACAACTCGGTTCGCGGATACTTTCGCGGTTGCCACGCATTTATCGCGTGCTGCGAACTATACAAGTAGTTTCGGTTGAAAAGGTTTTAATTCGATTAAACGCGTCCAGCGTTGAGCCGTCACGAAGGCACTCAACTCTTTTTCTATCATTCCACGTCGTTAACTTTCAACGCTCGTTGTATTATAAATATTTGCTTGATACTTTAATGGCTGCTCGTTTCACGTGAAACATATTAACTAAATTGTTTCGTGCGCCTTCGTTACTCGATAAGAACAATTTTTCGAATTAAAATTTAACACTATTTCTACCGAAGGTATCAAAAGACACTTGAGATTTTAACTTAAAATTATTTTCCAAGCTTAATATATGCTGAATTGACTTTTCCAACATTTATAAGGCTGACTGTAGGAAACGTCCAAAATTCAATTAAGGACAAATTATTCAATTGAGAAAATAATTTTGTGAAAATTTTAAAAGGTGTTAAGAATTCCTAAAATTGAATCGAAATTTGGGACGGAGAGTGAGTTAGTCGAGAGGATCGATGTATTCGAAATTTGAATGACGATCGAATTGAAATTGTTTCAGCATTGCAACGAGAGGCAGTCGTACATAAACGCCGAGTGCAGATGCGCGTGCAACAACGTCGACGAAGCGGCGAAGTGCATAAAGAATAGTACCAAGGTGTGGAATCCAGATCGTTGTGTCTGCCTCTGTAGGGACGAGCAGGAATGTTCTACGGGATTTTATTTTGATCAGAACACGTGCAGGTGTGAGCGGAAAAAATTGGACCAGTACTAAGGGCATTGGGCAACTCTCTTCTCTCACTGCATTCTACTCTCTCGCATATCTTGTAAGCTGCACGCCCTGCACCACGTCATTTCTTGGATTTACTTATCGAAATTTACCGTTTCCCTGCACAAATTGTGAAGCTAACAATTTCTCAACCCCTTGTGACGAGATATAATAGAAGTTTTGTCACTTATTTAATTTAATGGTATAATTGATCGTCAACACGTTGAACGCCGCACGATTTCATAAAGGCAAATACACAAAATGGAAAACATATAATATTAAATCATTTGGAATTGCATTATTACTATTATACGTTCATCTAGCTGGATGTCATCGTATTAGATAAGGTTATTTATAATATAGAAATGTTTTCATGTAATCATCGTTTAATTGAGTGAACTATAGCAATTCGATTTGGGTCACTAGTGACCCTCATGGCATTCAACGTGTTAAGGGGTTCGTGATTTTCGTGACTTGAGTTAATTAACCATTGTGTTTGGAGGAATGCACTACTGCAGTTATACGTTGTTTTATGTGTGTTGTAATTACTAAACTGTTGAAATCTGAAGATAATTGAAACATGCATGGCTTCTTAAAACCGTGTTCATCATTATACAGACCGCATCTAATAAAAGCATGTTGTGCATTCTGAATGTTTTGATATAATGCGTTCAACTGTTTAGGCTGGTAGATTGGTATCTTTGAAACTGAAAAATTTGTTGCAGGTGTAAGCAAGTACTATTATCCAAGACATGGTTCCAACCCACAAGGGGTACAGACTATAGATTTGCTCAAACTCAGAAGCCAGACAATGTACCGCCTGTAATAGTGCCACTAGATGCTGCAGATCCTAGGAGAAAACCCAAAGACGACCCAGAATACTAAAACGATTTAGGAACCTGTAAACTACATCACAAGACTCGCGAGACAGCTATTTAAATGAACATGCTTCCCACATCCGTGCCATTTTATTGCAATATAAAACATGTAATTATAGTATTCGTAAGATAGTATTAATTCAGTATCGCAGGATGTAAGTAATGTTATATTTTTACATATCAAAAGACTTTGTGATATAAAGGAATACAATTATTTAAAAAGAAAACTCATGTGCATTACTTATTATAAAGTTAATACCTAAGATTAGTTTTACTTAAGTAATAGAATATTTAATCAGTATATTAGTTAATACTTAAATATACGAAGTAATATAAAACGTGTTTCATTATTTATATCATTGAGAGGCATCTAATCTATAATTGTTGCAATCCAGTCTCTAGTTCTTCCATCATTAACTCCTTTTGACGTTTCTGAATCTCTAAACAATGTACAACAACCGCTTTGTTAACTTTTAACAGACTTCGACAACTGTTGCTTATGGATTCTACAGAATCAGCTAGATCACCTAAAAGTTTGTAGTAAAGGATTCTTGTCAGTTATGATTAACTTACTAAAACTTATTACCTAACCTCAAAGCAATTTCTGAAGTAAATTAGTAAAAGGTATATCCTTTAATCCAGCAATTGAAATTAAATAATACAATCAAATACATAATAATATTCAAATCCATAATTAGAAACCACTTGGGTTCGTTTGCTAACAATAATCACTTACGAACAATTGATGAAATGTCATCAACAACCGATTCTTTTGTAGGTTTCAACCGTTTACTCAGTTGCTGCAGCGCAACATCATTATCTTTTATTGGATTCATTATTTCTTCGTCAAATTAACGCGATTGAAAATCATATAAATAAACAGAACGACAAAAGTGTTCAAACACACGATTGCAGCGCCAAATGATGCAAGAACTAGCGATTCAGGCGGTTATACTTTTAAAAACAAATGGAGAAGACAGTTCTAACGAAATTAATTTTAAAATAATATAAAATGATACCCAAAGAGTAATACATCCATTCAAATATACGCAAAAACAATCACCGGTAACAACTATTACAAAGATTAAAACGAACCATGCAGTAAAAGTATTTTATAAAAATATCAAACTCGAAATTTACCTGTTCGACTGTCGCTGAAGCTGCACGTCAAGGAAAATTTCACTTGCCTCTTCGAACTTCAAAGGTCACACTGACAAACATAATATAAAATTCGACTTTTAACAGTTTCATCACAATCTAACTGTTTTTTAACTGTTTATATAAAAACTGAACCTTGACTTCACGGTTTCAAATGACAAAAAACTTTACCAACAACTGAACTGTATACACTCCCTTGCCGCCATCTGATGGTCATCACCGAAACGCAGCAGTTTCCTGAAGCAATCAATAGATGCCGCGATCTAAATGATCAATGACCAAGAACAAATATCGCGAATGTCTATAAATAATTTTACAGATAACATATTCTCATTGAATCATCGGTGAACGCATCTATAAAACGCATTACGCACTACTTTTAATTATTCCCGCTGTAATTTCACCTAAGTTCCTCTTTATTCGAGGTGCAGTTAACGTTGCTAACTGAAGAACAGACTCTCGACCTTCAATGGCACCCATAATTAAGTGTGTCCCCTATTAAATGCGCCCAGAACCCGTTCAAGTTTCCTCGAACGTTAAAAATCCAATTCATCAATCTTTATCGAACATACTGTAATTTCATAATTACGGGTCTTACAACCGTACACCGCGTATAAATTGCAGGCTCGGGTTTCGTCTATTTTTACCGCGTGCAATTGATACGCGTCCGCGGTTCGAATACACAGCGGGCCATTCAAAATACATATCATTAAGCACACGCATGCGACGATTCCATGGCTAGGCATCCGAATGATTAATAATTCCCTACGAATCTCAGCTAAAAAAAGTTTACACAAAAATATCTGCAACCAGGCTGTTTAACATTAAAAATCTACTAGTTGTTTTATAAACATCGTTTAACGAGGAATAACCAAGGAAAAGTAACAACCGTCCGAATAAAATCCATAATTACATACGCTGCCTGTAACTACCATCTACCGAAGTAATCACACGAAAAACACATTAAACTTGTTCCCCCCGTCTAATCTCTGTAATCGTTAATTACATCAAAAAATGAAAATACCTGCTTAGACCAGTATCAACACTTGGCCGAGGACACTGTTCTCCGAAAGAAAGAAAAAGTGTATCGTGAATAAATCATCCCATAGGTGGATAATTTCACCGGCGTCCGATTTTAGGGTTAAACCCGTTCGAGCGTATTGGATCGGCGAAATCGTCCCGGATTATACTTCATCGGGATGATCGAGATCCGGCGAAGAGGTGACGGGGAACCGTCGTCGGGGAGAAAGGGTCCGCGGGGTGACCGTGGCGTGTCCGCCCGGCCGGAGCGTAGAAAGAAGTGGACGAGGCGCCGTTTTTTTTCTGCCCACCCGTTATAATTGCTGGGGGCTTGTCACTTTTGCCGCAGTGAAGTATCTCGTCGCCGCGTCGCCCCGCGCCGGCCGTCTGCGACGTCTTCGTCTGCGGCGGCTCACTTCAAAGCACGATCAGTCGTACACGCTCGACGAGACGCCGGCAAGAGGAAGAGGAAATAAGGGCCCAGGGATAGAGAGAAACAAAGCCATCGGGCCCCGGCTTGCGAGCAGCACGTGAGCGGCAACATTTCCAAGCACGTGCGTTTTCCAATGATGCAGGACTGTGTATCTGAGAAACGAAGGTTTTCGTCAATTCAGGCAACGACGGAGATTCTGATAAATATTTGGTACAGTGATGGAAAAGAAGTATAGAAATACTTTTGTTTTAACCCTTTGCACTCGAAAGTTTTTCACTGGAAATATTCAATATTTTCCGACGAGATGTAGACGACATTGTTTGAAACTAATTTGACGATGATTCACAGATGAATTGAGCAACAAAGCTATTTTATTTAAATATTTCACACAGTAATACAAAGTTTCGTTTAAAATACTAAATATTCAGCTTCATAGTTTTGCTGTATCGAATCAAGTGGTGACTGAGAGTCACCTCTCGAGTGCAAAGGGTTAACCCTTAGTTGTAATCAGCAACTGCAACTAATTCTTATAGTATTCCTAGCGCAAATGAGAATATAACATATCTTCGATCTTCTATTTTCCTTCTCAATGCAAAATTTGGATGTGTGGAAAATTTAATTTTAGGGTAGTTCCTTTAAGATTCATTGAAATATTTGATATAACTGGTACAATGTTGGAGCCTACAAAGTTCAAAGGGTTAAAAGAGCGTTCACGTTGGAGTGATGCATAGAGTCTTTAGGAATTGCAGCAGGATGCACGATGTTGAAGCCTTTCCACTCGGAAGCTTTTCACTAGAAACATTCGAAAGGAACTAATGAGAAAATATACATAAATCAAGAAACAAAGCTATTTCATTTCACTAATCCACATACCGATGCAAAACCCTAATATCACGTTCCTTACCAGCGTCGTATATTTCTGACAACCGTAATCCTATATTTTACATAATGAAAATGAAATTAATCGTATAGACACTGTCATTAGAAATGATAAACTACGGCATTACATTTAAGAACTCAATGACTCGTTTCACTTTCATTATCTTCCTTAGATTTATTGGATCGAAGAAAATATTATAATTGAGAACACCGTAATAAGCGCCGGTAGCGAACGTGATATATTATACATCAAACGTCACAATCTTCCATCTTCCTATATCACTTCGCTTCGAGGTACTTCTAATCCTTCAGCTTGCAGCTCCACTAGAAATTCACTGAAGACATTCTATCATATCTCCTCCTAGCTCTTCAGCTTTCACCGCGGGCGAGCAATAAACTCACCCCTAGGCTCTCGTGGAGCGGAAGCTGAGGCGAAACCGTGGAAGACTCGACGAACACCGGAGCCAGCGATACTCCCTATCGACAGATAATTACACGGCTAGGTGTTGAAGGCACCCACGGCTCGTTCGACGCAATTTAATCGGGTCGCCGGGGTGCAGAATTTTTTCCCCGTCCCCCCGGGTTGAATGCGGCTTAATTGCGTTCGGTAGCCGGGAGCAGATTTAAAATTCAAAGAGGTGAACAGTAGTGGGCCCCCGGAAAAAAACCGGTACCTCGCCTACGTATTTTACGCCACTTTCTTGCGTGTACGCACGCGTGTATCTCTGTCCCGCTTCATCGCCGCCGCCACCGCCGCCGCCGCCGCCGCCGCCGCCTCTTCGTCAAGGACTCCAAGGGGCCAGCTCTCAGCTCCAGGACGGTCCATGCAGCCGGGTAAGAGGCTCCGCGGATCGTAACACGGTAGCCAACACGGTGGTAGGTTTAAATCATATTAAAGCGCATCCAGGCACCGGGAACCGTAAGCCCGGATTACTGCTACAAATCGTCCCGTACGGGGAATTCCGCGCGGCCGAGTAATTCGATCGTCCCCGAAGGTCCTGCTAATCACCGGCCGGACCTCCCCCCTAACTCCTGCGCACCGATTACCGCGTTTCTTTTGTGCTCGTGCCCTTTGTTGCCTTCTTTTTCGCGACCCTGGCCACGAAATTCGTCCGGTTTTTGCATCCGCCGAGCGTATAGTCGATGGTAAAAGTATCCCTCGAGAGGGAGGATCGATCTTGGGGTCTGATCGATCGAGGCGCTCGGTTTTTCCTTCTCGGAACACGCGCGGCGCGCGTCGATCGACGGATCATTAACGCCGCTCGGCCTCTCGCGGGGACGCGCGAACCATCGATCACGCGATTCTATGGCTATCGGCGCGGTACGGTTCGCGGGGAGGAGGCGCGTGATAAAGCGGTCCCGTGGAAAGTTACGAAACAACGTGGGCAGCGACGGTAGAAAATGGCGTGGGTCGTGACGGTCTCAGACCAGGTGGAACGTGTTTATACAAGATACGACCTGATAAGACATCGGCCGAAGCTCGACGGAGAGGTGCCTACGGGAAGACATGAAATGACCAATGCCCGAAACCGATCGGCCAGTTCTGGATTATTTCGGGGACTATAAAAACCGGGGCCCGGTGAGAGAGTTTCGCTTGCACTCGGCGCCGGTTGCTCTTGGCGTCTATGAATCGAAGGATCGGTACGAAAATTTTTGTTGAGACGCTCTGGGGTTGGTTTAGTTTCTGCACTTATCGGAGTTATTTAACATTGGAACTGCCGAGTTAAACTGACTTTTCCGAATTTCTTTATAAAATTTATATTTCAGTGTAGCTGTCATTAGAGCAGCTTCTTTGGTACAAAACATTTGTTTCTAGTAATTACAAAAAATTGGGAATGGTTCGGAATGACTCATCTGGTAGTTCTAGTGTTAAGTTCCTCTAATTTATGGTAATAGGAAAGAGTTCTTTCATCGTAGGTCTATATTTACTTTGAAGATTCAATATTGAATTAGCAAAGTCTATGATTGGTAAATTACACTTGAAACCCGAGTTGATCATTCGATATAACTGATCAAAGTGAAATTTCGATTTAGAAGTCCTAACAATAGGTAAACACTGCGACGTTTCCAAAAGAAAATTGAATTAGACTAGTAATTCAATTAGATTTTCTAATCTTCCTATAGAAAATCCAATATTGTCTATTGAGATTTCAGTCGATTTACAATTTAGTTTCCATATTATAAATCAATTTCATTACTCATTTCCCTAAGAAGCATCCGTTCCCCAATACTTGCAGAAGAATCAAGGAAAGGGTCATTTCGACCCATTCGGTAGTTCCAGTGTCGAGACCATCGCACAACGCACAGGTCACGATCTTATCGCGTCCACGAGTCCCATTGACGAGCCTAGAATCTCCATAGACCCCATTATAATCAGTTCCGTCCAGGAGTGCGACCCGCGGATCGTGACGAGTGGAATACACGGTTCGCTATCGCATTAACGACTCTTTGTGCCCCCGCCCCGAATCCTGTTACAAATTACACGTCGCATTGTAACACTTCGGCCGCCGGAGGATCCGTGATCCGTGAGCCGCTCACGCGATTCCGGGTCCCGGCGCGCGGGCAAATCTCTGCCCCTTTCCAGTGTCACGGGGACGAGGCTGGCCTCCTACCCCCTTCGGGAATAGCGATCGTAACTTTCGTCGTTGTTTTTTCGAGGAAAAAACGAGAAGAAAGGGGAAAAAAAGCCGCGGAGGTAGAAAAAAGTAACGAAAAAGGTAAAAAGAGACGGAAGAGAGAAGAGGAAAAAAAGAAAACCGAAGAAACGATCGGGGCCTCGTCGGGGTAGCTCTTGCCTCATAAAAGCAACAGAACCGTCCGCGACCGTGCCATCAATTTTCCCCTTGCACCGTAGAAATACTCCA